GCACCAGAAACTGACACAACATTGTCAACTGACTAGACGTCAATTAAAGAAACATGACACAGGGACGCCTCCCTCCGACTCCACTCTGGAAGCACACACGCCCAGAGCCCTGAGGACGACGGCTGGGGTCCTCACCTGGGCAAGTTACACTGCGGTGATCGGACTTGGGGAGGAAGGTGCCGGCCCAGGATGGGCTCTGGGGGTGAGAGACGCGTGCGGAGGCCACGACACGCTCGCTGTGTTCGCGCCCGCGCCCCCCCACCCCCGGGCCGTGGCCCCAGCTGGCTCTGCGCGCTCGCCAACGGATTGTTAGAAACTTCCGTTCTTTCTTGCTCTTTAAGACACTTGCGTTGGTTCATCTTTTTAGTTGCATGCTTTCCTCAAAAACGTTCAGCGAGGAATTCTACTAGGTATTTGGTTAGATTGACTATTTCTTTATGAATATTAAAACTCATTCCCAGCACCGACGTCATCATTCGAGTCAGGCACAGTGACCCAAACCTCGATACAAAGTACATGCGTTGTTTTAGGTACAGAAATTTTCTTTCCTTCAAAATCTTAACAGGAGATACATGTTTTATATTTAAAAAATGTCCTTTTTCTGTTTCACTGAAAGGAGGCAGCAGATTTTAGTTTCTGGGTGTCTGCCCCAGGAACTGGGTCTAGAGATCTTAAAAGTCCCACCTCTGCATCCTCTAAACACACACACACAGACACACACAGACACACACAGACACACACACACACACACACACAGGACGGGGGGGAGGGGCTGTTTTCTGAAGGGTTTGAGCCTTGGGGCAGGAAGGGGAGCAGATGGTGGAGTTTGACAGAGCAGAGGAGGGAAATTCTGGTCTAGACTAATTCCTGGGGGTGGACTTAGCTGTGAGGTGAGCGGCCCACGCTCCAGCCAGCCGGAGGAGTGAGTGCTCTGTCCTGGGAGGGGCACTGGGCAGCACATCACAGCCTCCACCACGGGGTGGGGATGAACGGGTCAGAGCCAGCGGTGACTCTAGATGGTGCTGCTCCTGGTGTCTTGTCTGCAGGGACTCTCTGTCCTTGACGATTAGACCTTGCACCAAAGGATGCAGCCACACGGTGCTTCCTTCATCAACAGTCTCACCACGAAAATAAAAAAGTTAGCTGAACTAAACAGTGCGCTTAGTGATAGCTGACTTTCACGCTCTGGCACCGGCTCATCTCTCCGTGACCCGGAACGGTCTGCAGACTGGCGCGGTCAGCAAGCCGCTGTGGGGAACGCTGCCCTAGACCAGCTCTGCTCAGGAAATCGCTCTGGGTCTTTGCCTCTCAGCTCTGTTTGTGAAGTTAATCATTCTCTGACTTCCAGAGTCTGGGGAGAGCAGCTTTGCCCACCCTCTGCTTTCCTAACACACGTTTTCCTTTTTTTCCCCCCAGGGTGGGGAGGTTGATTCATCTTAGCAGATCCTGTCAGATCGTGTCTGACTGCATGTATTTAGTCTTCTCAAACGTCCAATCTCTGTCAGCCGAGGAACGTCTGTGATGGACAATACGCCGATCACTGCAGGGCCTGTCGGTTTAATTCTTCTTGGTTATATTCATGCTGGGCCATCATTCAAGTTTATTGATGCTGTCTGGTCATGTATCTGGGATTTATAGTTAGCTAAATCCATCCTACGTAGAGAGACCACCAACAGCTTAGCTATCTTTTCAGAATCTTTTTGCATGAGAAGTGTTATTCAATGATTACAGACAGCTCCTTCATAAATAAGCACTTGCTTCTGTAAGTTTCCTCTCTGGAGCCCTGGACCAGGAGTCTGGGAATTTGGGGTTTTTTGTTGTTGCAATCCTGTTTCTGCCCTGCCCCTCGCAGCTGAGTTAAAAACCCACTCTCTCCAGTCCAAGTGTTCCATTCCTAGTCCTCGGAATATTCTTGAGAGTTGCATACAAGTTCACTAGGAAGCCCTGAATTATTGTTGTGTATGTGGCCACTGGCTTTCATGTCGAGTATGAAGTGCCTGGATTTCAGACAATTAGAAGGAAACAGAGAGAACAGAGGGTAACAGGCTCATGGAGGTTGGCGCTGAAATGAACCTGGACCAGTCCGGTGTTCGTCCTGGCCGCACATGGCCATCCTTAGAGACGGAGTGATTCTGAGTCATCAGTGATGTCCAGCCTCAGTATGTCCTTAAAGCCTGATGGATGATTCTTATGTTCATCTCGGTTTAAAAGCCATGGATGACATCCTCTCTCAATCTCCAGAGAGGACACTGGAGGCGAAGAGCCGTGGATGTACAGTGAGCCTCCACCCCCAGGTTCTTACCAGTGGGAACTGGAACGCAGGTTTTGGGAGAGGACCACGAAGCCAAGGCGATGGGGTTGTCCAGTCCAAACATTCTAGCAGCAGCACTTGAATGGAAACTCTGGGCCAAGTCCCATGCTAAGCCTTTTAAAATAAAACTATAATTCTGTGCAGCTGGTGTTACTATCATCATTTTAATATGGGAAAATGGAGACCCAGGAAGGCTGAACAATTTGACCAAGATGATGTAGATAGTCAGCAGGAGTCAGGGGCTGGACTCAAGGCTCTGGCTGAGGATTTCTGTTCTTACCCTCCCTGCCGGAGAAAAAACACCAATTAGGGGCTCACTGGGGAGCCCCTAATTCCCTTTGGAAGGCAGATTATACAAAGTATGTGTGTGAGCAGTCATGGCAATCCAAGCACGGTGGCTGGCAAATTTAATATAATATGATTGTGCAAGAAAAGAAAACCATACATAATGGAACAGGGGGAAAAAGACGGGCTCAGAGAAGAGAAGTAGGGGACGTGATGAATGCTCGACGGTCCCTGGGAGGTGATGACCAAGAAGAGACTGACCAATGGGGCACCAGACACACGAGGTCACCAGCAGTTTCCTAGTCCCAGAGACTCCTCGCTGTGGGGGGGGCAGCACACACCATTCAGGGTCTGGGAGGGGGGGCACTTGGGAACAGAGTGAACACGTAGGAGCCATGGGAGGCAAGCTTTGTAGTGACAAGAGAGTGGGTGACCTTGGTTCCCACAAAACGATGAGATTGGTCTGTGTGAATAATTCCACAGGCCAGTAGGGAACCAGAACCCATTACTCACAGGCAAGCAGGCACTGTGCTTCGTCCCTGTGATGGAGGGTTTTGCCTGGAGGATCTCACCTGCGGGAGCAGAGCAAGCTGGGGGACTCAGATCTAGACCATTCCAGGTCTCCCGATTTTACCCGATGTCAAAGCAGCATATAATACTGAGCCTGAATTTCAGATCTCAGACCACAGCCATTCCATCCTCAGAAGGTTGTGGTACCAATGCTGGGATCATAATGTGAAACCAGAAAGCACGCCTTCAACGTAGGATGCCCTCTAGAGGAGAGCCGGGAGCTCATTAATTGCTAATTTGCTTTCTTTCTGTAGTTGTGTGGAGTAATTCAAATCTGACATTTTAATTTTGCTTTACAACCACACATTCACTTTTCCAAGTCTGTGAGAGGGAGCAAGACAGCTCACGTCTCATTTCTCCTCTGTGACTCACCACGTCCTGGCCTGTCTGCCAAGTGGGACAAGATACTGAGGCCCTGATCGTATGAAAGAATTTCACGCTTAGACTTTTTTTTTCTTGAAAAAAAGTCCTACCTAAAGAACTGGAGGAAGAAAAAAATAAGGGCCAAATACAATTTCCGATTTTCATTAAAAGATCATTTTTTATGTTCAACTGTCACCAACTCTTCTCTTATTTCAACATTTAAAGTGAAGGCCAGAGTGCAGCTTTACTCCCCAAATGGGTCGGACCTCTTGACCCCACCGAGTGTAACAGCTGCCAGTCGACCATGTGGCATCTCGTGGAGGGTGACAAAGGTGTGTGGTCAGGTGACAGAGCACAGCGAACTTGAAAGCCTTTCATTCGGGCTAAAACCAAAGGGATTCAGAGCTTTGCACAGAACATTTACTCCAGATTTAGAAAAGGAAGTTAAAGCAAGAAACAGCATGAGAGTTTATGTATTTGTAGATGAGGGGATAAAATGGAAAAAAAAATTGTAGTCCAAAGTCATGGGCCTAGATTTGAGAGCTGACTCCATCAATTATTCACTGCTCAGATTTAAAGGCAAGTCGTCCATCCTCCTTCAGCCCAGGGTCCTTGTGTATAAAAGGGGTACATTATCATCTGCCCTGTAATCCGGCTGGATTGAGGACACCAGAGGGGAAGTGCTATTCATTTGTTCATTTACTCAGGTATCTGTGCACCTGCTAGGGTGCGGGCCACTGTTTTGGGCAGAGTGAACACAGCAGCGTCAAAACAGACCCAAGATCTGCCTTCATGGTATAGACAATGAACAACAAAGGAGATGCTACGATTTTCAGCTAGTGGTAAGTGTTATGGAGAAAAACCAACTCAGGGAACAGAGTAGGGAGCATGGTGGAGATGAGAGGGGTGACATCTTAGGTAGAGTGGTCAGGAGGAGAAAAGGGT